TATGCCTCCTTGGTCATCGATCCTCATGTCCTCGCACGATGCTTGTGGTACAAAAGTGCCTCATGTGCCTCAGCAGTAATGTCATTCAGTACTCGCCTGATAGTAGACCCCTTAGGGAAGATACCTTCGTAAATGTCTGTCTGCGCCATCTCTATTATGTGACGACAACGAGGCAAGACATCCTCAGTATGACCCAGTTGAGATTGCTGCTCCTTAAAAATCTCTTGATGAGTTGGCCTTGGAGGATCTCCTAAAGCAATCGGCATCATGTACGGATGTGAGACAGTGAAGAACCACCTGATGTATTCGTCTATGTAGCTGTAGTCGTTCAGCGATATGGTAGCCCATGCCTCATTCAGTATCAGATGACTCTGATAATCAGCAAACATCATGTCACTCTGTATACGAGTCAAGGCTAGAAGAGCATACACAATAGGGTGTCTGGGGATGGTATGAGTGTACCTGAACTGCCGCATGACATGCTCGAGAAGATTAGGAGCAGTGATACGCGATCCTCAGACCATCCATTCAGAGTATAGTGATATATCGTCAAAAGGCCGCGTCTGACGATGATCAATGTAGTAGTTAAAGTGGGTGTCCTCAGAAATCAAGCAGTCAAGATAGACTCTGAAAGGCTCGACCGCCTGGTTCCCTCTCAGCGGGATAAAAGCAAAGGCACAGAGCATCACCTCGGTATACTCATTCTAACTCACCCAGCCAGCGATGCACGAAAAGTGTTGGAGGATCCAAGCCTGAAATGAAAATAAAAAGCATTCAGGGATCAAGAATTATCGCAAATATGAAATAAAAAAGATCAAAAAAACATTCAAGGATAAAAAATTATTACCATTAGTAGCGTCGTGCTACCTATGGTCTGCTTCGTCATCCACCGACATTTATCTCTCATATTTGAATACAAATATGCAAGGTAAGCCGCCCCCAGTTGTAGTCATAGATCCGTGTGAGATCCAAGAAGTACCAGAGGTATGCAACGTCAGTGTAGGTGGCACTCGTATCCATAAAAATCACAGTGCCAACTAAAAATAGATAATATGCCCTCAAAGCATGAGTTCTGTGTATGGCCACCTCCTCGGCATCACCATCAGCCTACTCAGCAACAACAAGCGCCTCATCAAATCTCTCCTTCAAGAAAGAAAACCTAACATGAGCACATCTGGTCATATCCACATCCTTGAGTGCCTTCCGATCAGCCCTCAGATGTTCCACCATCATATCGACCTCTTCGTCTTTGGTCATCCTACCATGACGGAGGAGTCTCCCCCTGGTCGATAGATGCAACAAAGACAAGACATCATCCAGTGTAATTGACATATCACCATGCGGGAGATGAAAGGAAAGGGTCTCAGAGTGTCATCGTTCGACGAATGCATTAAGCATCTCGTGATTGACTAGACTGTAACTGGTCAAGCATAGGTCACTCAACCCAAAAGCTGTCAGAACCGACTGAAACCACTGCTCATCCGGCTGAGGCAATGCTAAAATCTTTTGCCCATAGTTCAGAAACTTCTAGGGATTACGCACCTGCGAATTTCCAAAAATAATCAATGTCTACAAGAATTAATGTTAGAAATAATCAATGTCACCAATTTAAATAATGTAAAAAAAACATAGTAACAATGTGATTAATGTTACCTCTTCATCCCAAATATGTCTGACAGTGTGGTCTGGGTATAGAGGAAGCAGAGACATATCAGATAGACCCTCTCCGAAAGCCTTTGGCTCGGCATCACCAACATCACCCTCCGGAGGTGGCACCAGTGCATCATGATCATCAGCAACCTCACCCTCCGGAGGTGGCACCGGATCAACAAGAGGTGGCACCGGATCAACAAGAGGTGGCACAGGTGCATCCCGACGCCTGCAGGAGGATGGGGGAAGTGATGTGTCATTTGGTGCATCATGTAGCCTGTGGGAATAAGAAGTATAAGGTGGCGTCGATTGATATGTAGATGGGGTGGCATGAGGCGAAGTCTGATCCCCATGAGTGGACTGAGATGTAAATGGAGTGGCCTGAGGCGAAGGTCGAGCCCCAGGAATAGACTGAATCTCAATAGTGGATTGTGCCCCCAACAGTCGACGCCTCTCCCTGACCAAAGGTACCTGCTGCCTCCGTTCCCGCCGAACGGATGCATGATGGGCAACCCGTTCATGCCTCAATCGGTCGGCTCAGTCAGTCATTATGCCTGCAAGGTATAATTAACCGTACAATGAATTTACGCAAATGAATACCACAAACAAGAAAATTATAAAACAAAATAAAGAGAGAGAGAAAATAGACTAAGAAAATTTTGGAGATACATCTCCGAAAAAATTCAACGTTTCATGTACTCTAGGTGATTCTTGAGATACAACTATGAAACATTATGCAGATGTATCTCCAAAATTACTCAGAGTACATGAAACGTTGAATTTTACCAGAGATGTATCTTCGAAATTTTCTGAAACTCAAAGGTCGAGACAATGGCGTCCTCTTCCCCTTAGAATGAGAAATTTGAAGCTTTGATCGTCCATTTGAACTAACAAACAATATATAAATTTGCTTTAAACTATGTTTCAGCTGATTTATAAACATTTCTGCACCTAACAATGCATTCTAACTCGTTTACAAGAATAATCGAATATTCATCGAAAACTCGAAAAACATACTCAAATTATATGACTTGGAAGATGTTGAGTAATGTACTGGATGCTGCTTGATAACTACTTGAGTCTCGGATGGATGAAATCAAATTTGGTGAAGTTGAAGAGATTTGGAATGAGAGAGATGAAGAGGTTTGTGAATGAAGATGAAAAAGTGTGGGAGGAGAAGAGTCTGGCGTGATAATATATTTCAAATTGTTCTGAAGATATATCTTTAGAATATTTCAACATTCACTTTAGTTTTTGTGTGTTCGGAGATATGTCTCCAAAATATTTTACCGTTCAATTAAATTTTGATGTGTCCGAAGATATATCTTCAAAATTTAAAAGCATGTAAGATAAGTCACACCGATGTGTAAGAAGTCCATATGTTAAAAAAAAAAAAATCCTCTAAATATTTGGGGTTGTAAATTTGTGATAACCCACCTAAATTAAATTTTTTTTAGACTATATTTTTTATTTGAATCAAAGAATGATTGTCTTGAATATGATATAAGATTCTCTTTTCCACTTTTTAACCTCTGTAGATATACTTTCTCTCTTTTTTTCAAAGCTCTTCAAATATCATTTTTAAATAGGATATCTTTTTAATTTTTTTTTGTAAACCGAGAGTGAAGAGACTAGTCAAGTTCATGAAGTTCACTAAAACAGAGTGTGTTTATCTAAATAAAAGGGGGAGGGGAGTTCAGATGTGAGAAATTTAAATTTTTATTTATTTAGCCTTTTACAAAAGTGATGTGTGAGGTTAAGGAGTGAAAAGGAAGGGTTGTGGTATAAAATTCTAGTAAATAATAAATATGGGCTTTTAAAAGGGGAAGTATCGGAAGAAAGCGAACGATTCAAATTGATGGAAAGATGGTGGTGAGGTGAACCAAAGAAGTTTGCATATGATGCTTCTAAGAAAATAAGAAATTAAGGTAATATGTTGTTTTCATATGAACCGTGGTTGAATGGGTTGTGCTAAAGAATCGTTTCAGTAGATTGTTTAGTTTATTTTAGATAAAAATGTGTATATGAAATGCGTGGTGTCTAGTTGAAGTTTTAGGGTTGTTTTAGGAGTTGGATAAAAAACATTTGTATCATTTTAATTGCTTCATTAGAATTAGATTTGTATCATAGTGTATATGTTCTTAACTTTATAAAATTTGAATATTTCAATTTCAGTAGATATTTAACATTACTAGTTTTTTATAGCTTTTAAAGAGAGTAAACGCACTTAATTTTTTTTATTGTTTTCAAAATATGGACTATTATGAGATATATTAATGGTTAATTTGTTCAGAAAATTTAATAGTTGTTAAGAACGTGGAACAAAACGATATCTCGCATTTCGCAATTTAAAAAAGACTCGAACCAAATCAGTTATCACCGGATTGAATCGGTTAGGGGTTGACGTAAAAAAAAAAAAAAAAAAAAAAAGTGTCAAATCCCAAACTAATGAAATTTGATTGGACTGGATAATTGACTGAGACGGATTCAGCCCGGCCCATAAGTGATAATTAAGAGAGAAAATCAAACTAGCTTCTTCATCAAACAATCATTCTATCAAAAGAAGATACTTCAACAAACTAAGATCAGCAAATAAAAAAAACCCAACCAAACAAATTTAGACTCGAAAGCTAATATCTCTAGAACATAAATAGAGTTGCATCAACCATCAAATTGAGAAATCACATTTTGAAGCTTAAATAAGGATAAAGCTGTTTGAAGTGATTAAGTGAACAATCCTCTAGTGCACAAATAAAGGTGCATCCACAAATCCTCACGACTTCACCCACCTAAATGCAAATGATAGCTACACCCTTCCAGAAATAAATAGCTACACCCTATATAGTACACACACTTTATGCTGAAGATAAGAGGGTACTTGAGCACATACATTCAGTTTGTTCTATGCTCTAGAATCAAATCAAAATACAAGTATTGAAATCAATCAAAACTACCACTGAGCATGATAAACAAAGAAATGAAATTCAGGTTGAAAGGAGCTAGGAAATACTATGATGACAACAGAAACAGAATAGAAACACACCACGATAGACGAATAGTGTGGACATTTAGTATGGCGGCAATCTCAAATCTGATACTAGAGATCCCAACCATGTGGTACAAGAGTGGAAATTTAGGACCAAGCTCAAGGTTGACAACCGTTTTATAGTGAGACAAACCAGATCACTGCAAACTAAGCATCACATGCCCTGAGGTAAAATGTTTGATGAGAGCAATCTTCCACCAAATAGAGCAATTGCGTATAAAAACAATGGGTTGCAGTTGCTCAACTCATCAAGATCATCGTCCACATAATGAGCCACAATCATAGAAAACGTAACCAAATTCATCTAAGCCCTTTGAAGAAAACAAGGGTGGTAACGCATATTGAGTTCAAGCAATTGCAGATTGCCTGTTGCAGCTGAAAAGATTTTATTTGTTTTAGTTTTAAAAACCATGCATGTCCAGTTAGCAACAAAGGAACCCAATGATGAACCCAAAAAGATCACATTTAGCCAAGAATCCTGCCAAAAGGTCAATAACATTAATAAAGCAACGACTGAGTCTGAAAATCTAGTGATGATGAAGTATGCATATAATGTGAACATTTAATAATTTACCCGCTTGACTACTTTCCCATAGATCCAGAAACAGTATACCCAATTCGGCATCCATCCAAAGCCACAAAACATTCCAATACCTCGTTAAACAGAATCAGGTAATCCCGCGGAAAACATGTCATAAAACTCCACATGCATGAAAGTCACAAATCACAAGATAACCGGCGGCAATTATTGAAAGCATAGAGCACAACATCGAATTCAACGGTATGTCATTAGATTTCAACAGACCAAAAGATCAGCATATAGGAACATTAACAAGTCTAACAAAGGTGCCAAGTATTGCATGTCAAAACACCGGTATCATTGGTCCATCCAAACAACAACAATCCCAGAACATTTTGTGAATAAATGCGCAAGCTAGGCATCAACAGCAACCTCTTTGATTTCAAAGCTGCAAAAAAAACATAATTACAATTTCATTAGAATCAAGAAAACACAGTGCAAAAAGGAGAGATCAATACACATTTTACATACCTCGACGAAAAGACCAAAGTATATCAACGAAAGCCTCCAGATCCACGTCGTTCATATGGTCCAGCACGATCACGTTCACGATCACGGGAGTAACGATCATTTCCAGAATCTCCACGACTACCAGCGTCCCTGCTACGACCTCCAGAATAACGATCTCCGTTTCTATCAGGACCATAGTGACCACCACCACCGCTTCCACCGTATCTACTTTCTCTACCACCACCATACCTCCCTCCTCTTCCCCCTTCACTAGGGCACTCCCTAGCAAAATGGCCAGGTTTACCACAATTAAAGCATCCTCCATCACTGGATCCTCGACCACCTCGGTCACGGTCACGATCACCACGGTCACGACCACGTTCTCGGTAGCGATCACCATCATCTCTAGCTGATCCTTGTTGAGGTTGAGCTTTGTCGACCGTAATAGTTCGGCCATCTAAATCTATCCCATTCATAGAATCAATAGCATCCTCCATTGCTTTCTTTTCATCAAATGTGACAAATCCAAAACCACGAGAACGTCCAGAGAACTTGTCAACAACCACCTATTTACAAAATGAAATTAAAGAAAATATTAACAATTCCATCGTTCAAATCAAATATAATGTTTACAAAACAATTTTTATTTTTGATCATACTACATTGTGCAGCATAAACCAACTTCTAGGTACCAACATTAAATAAGATAATGACAACATCAATTTGATATTTATCACCTTTGCCTCCGTAAGCTTGCCAAATTTTTCAAATGTATCCTTTAACTTTCTATCCGATGTTGACCATGCAAGGCCACCAACAAAACAACGGTACTCATCTTCGTCTGCCATTTTAAACTGCATAAGACAAGCATTATTATATGGTGTCGAATTAACCAGTCCAAGTTAATGAACCCAATTAACCTCAAGCAAGAAGCCAAGAGAATAGGATTCCTTGTAAACCAAAAGGCACGTCAATATCATGATTGAATGAAAAATAGCACTATTAAACAAAACAAAACAAAAAAGAGAACGCGTCTACATGCTGAACAAGTCTATATAGATTTAGAAACATATAGATGCTAAGGTGTGGAACCATTTTTCAAACAATCAGTCAACCTAAAACTTAATTCATAAGAGATTTAGATAAAATATGAAATAGTTTATCAAATTTGTTTTGATGAACATGTAAACCATAAAGAAGAAAACTATTAGGTTGACACCAAATAGATTGCATGCTGAAAGTACAAACTTACCCAAGTTAAAGCTTTTCCAAATTCACTACAAAGAAATAACACAAACAATACACATCATAGGTATAAACATACAATGATAACAATTACAAATAAATCTATATTTCACTCCTAAAATCGCAATTTTTCAGAAACTTCGCAGTACTTCCATATTAACAAAAACATAATATCAATCAACTAAGCAGATGTGTGCCCAAGTATCATCATTTAATTTAACACCAAACACATTTTCCCTTAAGCATAAAAAATTATGTAATATATATAAGATGATCTAAGATTGCAGGAAAAATTCAAATTCACCCAAAATAATAAAAATTCAAAATTCACCCAAAATAATAAAAATTCAAAATTCACCCAAATTAATAAAAATTGAAAATTCACCCAAATTAATAAAAACTCAATATGTATACTGACTTAATACACAGGAACATATATCTATATATCTATAATGATCCCAAATTTAAGAAAATCCAACAACCCTAAGATTTTCTCTAACACGAATTATACAAAACTTAATACCATCCTCGATTTATCTGGGCGAATTGACACAATTAGAAACGAGGATTGAATTAATTTTGAAGAACAATTGAATTGAATTGATGAAGAAGTAAAAACGAATGGAAATCGAGTAGAGGAATTGGAACAGTACCGTTAATTGGGGGCGACAAGAACAGGTTCTCTCTAGGTTTTCAAAGAAGCGTAAATCGATGAAAATAAAAAGTCTAAGCAAGTTTTTTATTTATTCTCTTTTATTAGATTAAGCTACCAATTCCATGTCACGCCTTTTTTTTCTTTTTCTTTTTTTCATTTTTACTTTAATAATTTTATTTAGATAAATTTCTAGTATCATGATTCTTTCTTGAATACTTAAATTAAAATAAAATTTTAATTTATTTTAAAATAAAATAAAATAATAAAGTGACATAACCAAAAACACCTCATTTTGAAGACATTAATTAATCTCGGTTTCGTCTTTTATTTTCATTCATAGTAGAAAAAATCTTTACTACAAAACATAGATAATACATTTGTTTATATTTTCTATTACTCGTTGTCATAGAGTCGAATTATAAAGCTATAAGGTGAGTTTTTCATCCAGGAGTTTGTTTTTCATTAGGATAATAAAATTTTGATTTGTACTTTGTTCTATTTTAGTTCTCATTTTATTTTTTTGACACCAAAATGCGCAACTAAGTGCTTATTATTTATATTTATAATTATTAAATAATGAAACTTTGATTTTTCTTGAATTGTTTTATTTTTGAGATGTTTTCATTGATAAAACTATTGATTTTGATGTTGTTGATCTTGATAATGTTGGAAATTCACCTCACACCCTATGAAGAATTCTCTTCAATCTTGATCTCAAGATTGATGTACAAACCCACAATATAATAGTAATGGTAATAACAAGTAATTATCAAGAACAACAAAGAAAAGAAGAAGAACACACAAGAAAGAGAAGAATGAGAAAGTATTGAGTTACCCACAACTGTGGGATTTCTGATTTTATTGAACCTTCACTTGCTAACATTGCAACTGTGAATCCAGTTCTACTGTTGTGTTATAGAATACAAAGCAAGGCACCCTATTTATAGTTTTAGGTTTACAAAAGCCCAAACCATAAAAGGCCCAAAATATTCAAATCAAATTTAATCATATCAAATTAAATCAAAACAATGGATTACATTTAACACACCACCTAATTCATTGTGTCTAAACTGTCTACATTCATCATGGCTCTTAGTCTTCTGAAGGCTTCGACCTGCACTCCTTTCGTCATGATGTCTGCAATCTGATTCTCAGTTCTACAGTGTTCCAACTTCATCTTCCCTTCTGCTACCTGCTCTCGAAGATAGTGGAACCTCATTTCGATGTGCTTGCTTCGACCATGAGCTATTGGATTCTTCACCAAGTTGATAGTTGACATGATGTCTATCTTCATGGTAATTGCTCCATGATTCTTCCCTGTGATTTCTTCGACCAAGTTCACCATCCAAGTTGCTTGACATGCACAAAGAGAAGCAGCTATATATTCTGCTTCGCATGATGACAATGCCACTACTGATTCCTTTCTCGAATTCCAAGCAACGGGTGCACCACCTAACATAAACACATACCCAGCTGTGGATTTTCGATCCTCAGCATCACTACACCAACTGGAGTCTGTGTATCCCACTAACTTGCATTCTTTTCCTTCATCAGTTGCTGAAAATAAAATGTCATAGTCGAGAGTTCCTTTTAGATACCTTAGTATCCTCTTCGCCGCTGCTAGGTGTGATACCTTTGACTTCTGCATGAATCTACTTACCATACCAACATTGTATGCTAAGTCAGGTCTTGTGTGACAAAGGTATCTAAGTGACCCAATAAGTCTTCTGTATTGGGTTGGGTCGACATCATCTTCATATGAATCCTTCAACAGTTGTAATCTGGGCTCAGCTGCATTGACTGGTTTGATGGACTCCAACTCTTCAATCATTGCTTTCATCCACTTCGAATCTTTCAATGCCTCAGCTGCATTGACTGGTTCGACATCTGCGTAGAAAGCATAATGTACCAACTCACCCTCTTCATCGACTACATCATCTGATGTAATTACACATTCTTGCAACCTTGCAGACATATGTCTTGTTCGTCGAGGTCTGCTTGAACCTGCTTCATCTGCAACTGGTTCCGGTCGAACTTCTATTTTGACTTCAGTTGGTTGGTTCTTCACAAGAGATTCTCACTGAATCCTTCTTGGCATTCTCAGTCCAATCCCATTCTTTAAGCTCATCTATGATCACGTCCCTGCTGATCACTACCTGCTTATTCACCGGGTCGAACAACTTGTACCCTCCTGTCGAATGATATCCTATCAAGATCATCTGATTTGACTTATCATCAAGTTTCCTTCTCAACTGATCTGGCACATGTCTATGTGTTATAGATCCAAACACCTTCAAGTGACTGAGATTAGGCTTGACACCAGACGAACATTCTTCTGGTGTGATTCCTTCAAGCTTCTTCGTCGGACATCTGTTCAATATATATGTTGCTGTCGAAACTGCTTCTCTCCATAATTCTTTAGGTAGATGCTTTCCATTCAACATACTTCTCACCATATTCATGATGGTTCTGTTCTTGCATTCTGCAATCCCATTTTGCTGTGGAGTGTAAGGTGGCACCACCTCATGCACAATCCCTTCTTTTACACATAGTGTATCGAACTCTTTCGACACATACTCTCCACCACCATCAGTCCTCAGAATTTTCAGCTTTCGACCACTCTGTCTTTCGACCATGGACTTGAATCTGGAAAATACCTCAATCACATCACTTTTCTTCTTGATGAGGTAAGTCCACAGCTTTCGACTGTAATCATCTATAAACGTGACAAAATATCTATTGCCACCAATCGAATCCACCTGGATTGGACTACATACATCAGAGTATATGACTTCAAGTATTGCCTTCGACTTCCTTCCTGCATCCTTGCTGAAGCTATTCTTGTGTTGTTTCGACTGAACACACTCCTCACAGACTTCACTTGGAATGTCGATTTCTGGTAATCCTGAAACCATATTTCTTCTCTTCAGTTCTCTAATGTCATTAAAGTTGAGATGACCTAGTCGAAAATGCCATAACCATTCATCTCTGCTGGCTGCAGTTGCCAGACACTTGAGCTCCATCACATTGAGTCCAATCTTGAAGGTCTTATTCTGAGACATTAGAGCCTTCAAGATTAATCTACCACGTGCGTCGAGAATTCTCATCATCTTGTCTTTGACAACCACCTAGTAGTTCTTTTCGACAAGCTGCCCTATACTGAGCAAATTACTCTTCATGCCTGGTATGTACAACACATTGGAAATTGTTGACCTTTTGCCATCTTTCCTCATGATCAGAACATCACCAACACCTTCAGCTGCTAGAGTGTTGTCATTTGCAAACTTCATTGTGTTCTTCGACGAGGGCTTCATGTTCACAAACCAACCTTTCCTTCCAGTCATGTGTGATGAGCATCCTGAGTCCAAGTACCACTGATCTTGGAATCTTTCTTCATCTTTTGTTATGACCATTAGCAACGTTTCTTCTTCTTCATGTTTCGCCAACTTTGCATCAGTCTCTTGATTTTTCTTCCTTTCTGGACAATCACTAGCATAATGACCATACTTCTGGCAATTGAAACACTGAATGTGGCTTTTGTCTGGCTTTCGACCACCACCTCTTCCTTTATCTGCCGCACCACCTCTTTGGTTTCCTTGGTTCCAAGGTTTCTTCTGATTCGATTGGTTTCCTCCTTTGTTGCCATTCCAGCTACCTTTGCCTTTTCTTTCCTTTTCTGACTGCGCCTGTAAAGCCATATCTTTCGACTTTCCTGCAGCTCTCTCAGCCATCCTCTGTTCATGAGACTCAAGAGTCCCTTGAAGCTCTTCCTTCGTCAACACTGACAGATCTTTAGACTCTTCTATGGCAACTACCACGTGGTCGAATTTTGGAGCCAACGATCTCAAGATTTTTGAGACAACTGCTTTCGTCGTCAGCGCTTCTCCACATACTTTGATTTGATTCACCAACTTTGTAACTCTGGTGAAGAAATCTGTAATGCTTTCG